GCTGTATTACGTCATTTTGGAGCATCTTCTGAACTTGCTTTTGGATCTCCTCACGTTTTTTCGGAGCCACACGGTATGGGTTTTGACGGATCGGTCTCGTATTTTCTTCAAGGATGATTCGGTGCCGGGTCAGTGGTGTTTGCTTGACTTTCGACGTGCACGAAAAACAATTTTTGAACTGGTGTATCAGCTCTAGTAGGCGCTGTTTATCCGAGGCTGACAGGGTTGAGCAAATGTTGACAGACAAAGGTGTCGTGGCTGGGATGGTCGCCTCGTCCGGTTGCAAAGCGAAGCAATCTCTGACTTGGTCCACGTCGTCGTAGTAGGCAATCGCGGTGCCCTTCTGGATGTGATGGCACTCGTTGGTTAAGTTGGTGAGAAGTACTTCTGCCTGCCCATCAGTTAGTGCCAGAACGCCTCTCGCTATTGAAACACCTTGCGTAAGCAATAGCGTGTCTATTCGCTCCGCTATCACCTCATTACAGCACAGCCGTTCACATAACACCGACACAAGGCAGCAAGATCTCGGCAGGAGCATCGCATCATCGGCTACACGTAAACGTTGCAGTTGTTCTTCAGTGGTGGCGTCGACATAAGGATGGGTGGAAAAGGTGACGATACGTTCTGGAATATTGATGACAGCACCGTACTCTCGCAGAAAATCCATATCCAAAATCAGCTCTTTTACAACAGTCTGGCAAAATGACAAGTGTGGTGACGAAGCTCGAATCACCAATTACGAGCCGAGCGGTGCATTTACGGGTTGGTGTCATTATCTGTCCACCAGCACTTCTTATGCTCGGCTCACTCCACGGCATCTTGACCTTCTTAAGGCGGTCGGCGAGGTCTTGTTGCATAATAGAGAAGTCAGCACCAGTGTCAACCAGTGCTGTTACGTAGTGTCCGTCTATAACAACGCTAAGGCTGGCGCGTACAAAGTCAGTGGCATTAGTACTCGTGGTTGTTGTCGTCTTCGTCATCACCGTCTTCATGTCGTCTTAGTGTAGAGGCAAGGGGGTCTTTTTGGCGTCTCGGCGATTGGCAACCTTGCCCCCGGAGGTCGCAGAAGTTAGTTTCCCTGGCACGAGCTTGGGGAGTGGTTTCTGACGGCGTCAGCGTAGATTTGGTGATTCGGGGAAGTGTGACTTCGTGCAAGTGAGGGAGACCACCAGCGACGACTTGGTAAAAACGCTTGGTTGGTCGACAGGTGATCAGCACCATGGTCACGAGGGTCTTCAAAATGAAATGAAGCGGGATGAGAAATGTTTCCAACCGGGCTTTTCGATGACGGCAGTAGCGCGAGATGGGGCCTGGTTCGCCGCAGTGGAAACAAAGGGGCTGACAGTTGGCAGTGCTCCACAAGTCGGTCCGGCGTACTGGTGATCGCCGCACAGGTTCCCGCTGCCACCAAGGCAAGGTAACGGGCCGTGGCTGAAAGGGTGCTTCTTCTGGGCGAACGGCATTAGCATAGGTCAATGGACGTGGTTCAGGTGGTGGCACCGGTGATAGAAAGGCTTGCCGTAGTTCGTGGTGCACTATTTTGGCAACAGAATCAACTGGAGGCTCGGTAGACGGAAGGCCGAAGGCCTGCAGTTCTTCCTGCAGGATTTGTCGAATCATTTGCTGTAGAGAGCTTTCGGATACAGCAGCGTTTTGAGCGGCAGCACCAACAAGCGTTTGCTCGGGCAGGCGGTCAAAGTGCCGGCATCATTGCTGGAGCGCCCGCTCAACGACAGTCGCCTCTTTGATAAATTCATCCACTGTTGTTGGCGGATTTCGTACAAGGCCGGCGAAAAGCGGTTCCTTAGCTCCCCGCATCAGGTGACGAACTTTCCTCGCCTCGGGCATGTCAGGTTCAGCGCGGCAAAATAGACGGGCCATATCCTCAGCGAACATGGTGACGCTTTCATTCAGCTTTTGCATGCAGGCTTCAATCATTTGTTGTGTGAGATCGTGTCGGTCCGCACTCAGGAACGTCTCAAGAAGCTTTAGGCAAAAATTGTGTCCGGTTTGGAAAGTAGGCTGCCTGTTCTCGTACCATGTGCGAGCGCTATTTTCCATTGCGAAGTAGGCACGGCCAAGTCTCTCTTGCACGCTCCAACGATTCACCACAGTGGTCCGCTCAAACTGGTCGAGCCAGTCCTCGACATCTTCATACGGTTCTCCACGGAAGAATTCGGGAACATGAGGTGTCTCAAAAGTTACCTGGTAAGGATGAGTCGTCTGGTAAGGAAGATTTGCAGACGTTGAAGGGGCCACCATGTTGGTAAGAGGAGATGCAGAGGTCTAGTAGGCGCTGGCTGAATCGGTGTACTGGAGTTGTAACAAGATGTTGAGGCTCTGAACAACGCTTTCCTGCATCAGGTTGCAGGCCCCAGCACCTCCATCAGTGTCGCGACGTGAAGACAGAGGTCGTATATGAAAACGCTGAGAAAGCAGCAGCGGGGCGGTCTTTTTATTTTCCGTGCACCAGAGAGTTCCTCGTCTTTCTCGTTGTTGCGTTCTGCATAAAAGTGTGCAGATGCGCGTATGCACTGTCGCCTTCGTCTTTCTCGCAGGATGCACGTGACAATATGCATGAAAAAATAAAAAGCAGTGCGTAACGATTGCTTCTTAATGTAGACACGGAAGGATACACCTACCAAAGATTATAAAGTTTTTTGATGTTTCGGCACTCACTACGGGAGCCTTGTTCACAATAATAGTCATAAGAAAGGCACAGGGTATTTAAGTGTGGGACATAAGCACTGGAAGTACATTGTTGGAAGCATCTCATCACTTCTGTTCAGCATATGAGCAGTTGTCTGCATGTGCTGCTATTCCAGGTGCATGCAGATACAAGAGGCCAGAGCATGCGCACTTGACCAGTCAGTTTGGTGGCCTGTAGATTCTACCTGTTTAGTGAGGGCATAGGAGGTCACGCATTGCCTAAAACGCCTAAAACGTAAAAACTAAACGGACCATAGGAATTTTCCTCGGCAACTTTTCTTTCACATTGTGTAAAGCCTTTTTTAACTATCATGTTGGTACCTTCACTGTTTTGATGTCTGTTGCTTCTAAATATCACACAGTATATCTGACTTTCCAACCAAAACATTCTACACGTCAATAAATTTGTGCTTATTTGTCTTGACCATGATTTCAGCTTGGCTTGAAGGCCTTCAGGTTTGGATGGCACTGCCATTAGCAGAGGCTTGCCTGGCTGTGTGATGCCTTTTATTATTAGTATTGGCAATGCAACAGCAAATGTCCTCAGCTAGGCACTTATTGCTGATAGCTTGCGTTTCAAGGGTATAGTTTGGTAGCTTCATCTAAATTTATCGTTTTAGTTTCTTGAGATGGTCTTATTAAATCTGTGATTAGATTTTAGCGTTATGGCCATGGAAGAGTACACAAATGAAGGTAACCCGCCTGCATCTGTGATAAATCTGTGGAATTGAGGGAGTAGGCGTGACCAGGCAGATTCCTTCTTGCCAGCACATATTTGAATGCCATCATTTTCAACACTACTCCTAGCTTTCATTGCAGGCACATGAGGACTTTGTCGAACTCTAGGCGTCAGAGCCCAGAGAAATAAAATATGAACATGCATGTGCTCGTCGAAGAAAGAAAGAAAGAAAGAAAAGTGTGTGGTGCGGCTTCGTTATTGCAACATTCTTAGTCATTGTCAATGCAAGGCACAGAGAAAAGTATATAGTAGAGGTGTACAATTTAGGTGGGGATGCGGTCAATGCAAGGCATAGAGAAAAGTATATAGTAGAGGTGTACAATTTAGGTGGGGATGCATTAGATTCAACCCAGTCAACATCCTAAATAGTAAAATTAATAAATACAGGTCAATCTAATCTAATTCAATCCACATCTTTAAGCGGCCTGGGCTGTAACTATTATAGGGAACTATATAGCATACTCCAGTGGCGGAAGCAGCCGGGCTCAGGCGTCTTCCTTTTACACAGATGCCGCGAGATGGTGCCACTTCTACATTTTCTTGCAGCTGCTTTGCTGAAATATTGCGGGCTTCTTCAAACTTTCAGCTGCGGTTAATTTTAGCTCATGTGTATGCATTCTGCCAAACAGCCAACTTTGCTGGCTTGTAAGTATTATTTTGGCCATATTTACATTTTTTTTTCAAATTTACCGTACGCGCTGAGAACATTCTGAACGCGTGTGGTACATTTATTTACATATTCCGTCGGATTGCCTGATTTTTCTTACCACTCTTAGATCTCTTTTCAATGCACTGAGTTTTCTAAGCAGACGTAATGGTCTTGGAATTTGTTTTAAATCATCATGGAAAACCCGAAAAAGTCATGGAATTTCGAAAAAGCAAATTGGTAGACATCCGGATCATGGAAAAAATTGTGACACGCTATTAGTGTGATGTACCAGACAATTATGCCAAGGAAAGTACAGGGTATGTTATTCAAAGTAATTGTAATGTAAATGGGAAAAAAGAAAAGTGGACGCCATGGTAGCTTGGTAGATAGAGCATCTGACGCGTTATTGAAAGGTTGCAGGGTCGGTTCCTGCCCACGGCAAGTTATCTTTTTGGCCACTTTTCTTTCTACACATGTACATTACGATTACTTCTAATAACATCCTTTATACTTTTCTTAGCATTGTTTTCTGTTAAGTCTCACTAATATTGTGTCTGATAAAGAAAAATGAGCTACTTCTTTCCTTCAAATGAGCTTGATGTCATTTGTGTAATGTTCATAATCCAACTGGTCCAACTTGCCATCTTGCTGTTAGGCAAGTTGGGCCAGTTGGATTATGTTTATAATTGAAAATTTGTTTGAAGCGCACTAAAAACAGATGGACAGAAGAGGCTGACAAGGACAGCCTCTGATGAGGACAGCCTCTTCTGTCCGTGTGTATTTAGCGTGCTTCAACCAAATTTTCAATTATGAGAAGATATAAGTTTGTACTAGTGCTTGTAGCTGTATAATATTTTTTCTCTGTGTGCTATGCATGTGTATTTAAACAACTTACTGTTTCAGGACCGATTTGGCAACAGCACAGCGATGAATATGACTGGCGTGCTGACACTTCAGGTGATCTCTCCTGACCCATCTGTCAAGGAAGTCCCGCACTTTGAAGGAAATGTAAACCAGTACCAAGTGCCTATCAGCAAAGGATGCGCAGTAGTGCAAGTAAGCATGTCTGATTGGAAATGCACGCAGTGGTCAAGATTGTCTACTGTTTGATCAAATATTAGAAGAATGTGTCTCTTGTCTAGCTACCATGGCCCATCTTTTGGCTAATCTGCAGCATATTAATGCATTTGAAGCAGGTAACCAAATTCCTGGCACCGACAGCAGCTTCAGAGTTTTCCCTGACCTCGGTAATTACACTGAGCTGTACCATCCAACCACGATGTACAGGGTAGAACACCGATAAAATAGCTGCTTATAGGAAGGAGCAGTTACAATTTGGTCTCTTTCGACTCTCGTTTATCTTCCCATGATAGTCCATGTAATACCGCTTATTGTACAGCCCTCGAAGGTGAAAGACCGTTTATAATGTGGTTGCCGCGGCAAAACATTTTTGATGAAGTTGGTAGCAAGCACGCAGTGAGTGAGTGTGCAGCTGGGGGTATAGCAACAAGGTCGTTACGTAAGACAAGGGGGAAGAAAGAGGGCAAAGGAGTAATCAATCAAGGGACAGAGAGGAAAAAAGTAAAAGAAAAAGAGACCTCGGCAGCGCTGTGCAGGCTTGCTGAGTGAGTAAGGGCAGTTGCCTAAGCTACGGAGTAGTAGCCTTTGCACTGGCACCAGTGGCTGCGAGGCTCTGACCACATGGTGGCTGCTGGCACTCAGCATGAAACATGCAATCGCGTCTTAAAAGCGACACCAAACACAAACAATAATTTACAAGAGAGTGAAAGCTGGGTGTATGACAATGACTGAAACGACAATATTATCAACAGCAGTGCCCTACTTGCTGAGAAATTAATGTAAATGCATGAGAACACATGTGCCGGAGTAGGACATTTTCAAAATGATGCCGTTGACATCAGAGTTACAGCCCACAATTAATCACTGGTAATCAAAGTAGCTGCACTAAATAAAGAACCATACGTGCATCAAGAGATGTAATGAAAGGCTGCTTGTTTGTTTCTGTTTGATTTACGGAAAAAAGAAAATGGCGTTAGTGGTTCAAAAGTTCAATTTTTGCCTGGTTAAAATGGAAAAGTCGTGCCATCTAGCTGGGCCCAGTTGAACCAAGCATGTCGGCCATCTCGCAGTCTATGGCAGGAACCATTGCTGCTGGTGTGGCTCCCACTGCTTTAATTCTGCTGCTACTAGTGTTGGCGACTGCACAGTAAAGCCGGGTTACATTGTGCACAGTAACAGTGACGTGAGACCTTTGCTTGAGGCGGTTAATCTGAAGTGCACTAACCCAATGCGGATTCCTTAAGCGTAATTTTATATCAAAATAAGCACTTTCAAAATAACCACTTTCTTGGAACAAAAGTAGCAGTACGAGGTTTCGGGACCCCTATTTCAACAATAGTCTACCTAAGGGGGGAGGCGGTTTTCGTATTGCGAGAAATGGCTGAAAAAGCTACGGTAGACTCCTTTTAAATGAAACCTGAAGGGACAAGGTAAATGTGCTTCTTTTAAGAGGAGTTTCGTTAACTGAGAGATAAACAGGGGTACAATATTCAAGTAAGAAACCAAACATATTAGTGGCAGTTGTTTTATTTAAACAGCAATTTCATTTAAGAATGTTTTGTTTAATGGGAGTCTACTGTATTTTTTTGAAAATCAAGGTTCCAGTTCCTGGAACTTTTTTTTTTGTTTGATTCCAAAATATCTCCCTTGAAAACTAACTATGCAGAAGTTCGTCGAAAAATTTGTTTCATCCTCTAGCGAAAGTTATTCTGAAAATCGTGAGAAAACAGGGATTTTCAAAAAATTATAGCTTTGTGATGGTTTGGCCAGGAGCTGGCTTCTTGGGCTCATTGGAAAGAGCATTTCTCCATGTTCAAAATTCATGCCTCAGCTGGCTCCTCCCTTTAAAAACAAGTGCACTAAAAGCAAATGTCTGAAGATTGTTTCGAGGCCCCTGATTGGTTGTGGCTGCCATGGTGCCCCAGCTCGCCTTGCCATTGGCCCGATGCTCACTCCAGGAGATCGTAGTGCTGCCATTGGCAAGAATAACTTAAAGCTACCTTCCTTGCAACAGCACGAGGTCGTGTCGTCGGCTTATTCATGTGGTTTGTACCCGTTTTGCTTGCAAGGCTAAGTTTCACAGCCTGTATTTTTAGTTTTTTCATCACACGATGGCTTTGTGTGATCCCGTAACGGTCGTGTGATCGGGACTTCCACTGCATTTTATGTATTTTCAACGCAGTGACCTTAAGTGCCGAATTAGGGTACATTAGTAAGTTGTGCAATCTCAGAGGCATCCAAAGCAACTAGTCCAAAATTTTCTCGCACCTTCTCTAGTCTTTCGTGCTCATGATTGTCACTGCTTAGCAATATATATGTCGCATTTCATATATTTTAAAAAATTTCATCTCCCCTTGTTGATTGCAAGCATGCACATGGATGGGATGCAGTGACATGTCGTGAGCATTTTGTTCACTGATGCTTCCGCTTGCAGTAACATCACTTTTCATCAAGCAGACTGCAAATATAGGAACACAGTGCATGTTTTTCAAATGAATAATTCAGGTACCCACATACTGAAGGGGCCAACCTGACCTTCTTAATCATTTTCTGTGCTTGTAGAACCTGCAGATCCAGGAGAACACTGAGGGAGTGGATGGTTTCCAGTACATCCTGCGATTTACGCCCAAATTGCACAAGACGGCCCTTCCCAATTATGAAGTGCCTTTCCTTTTTTATAACGGCAAGTATTCACAGCAAATCAATGGCGTGTAACACAGCCCTAGTAGGTGTTGTTACAGTCAGGACATTAAACGCTTACGCGTGCATTGAATTCGAGCAGTTCTGTGTGTAGGCATGCCACATTTAGTAATAAGCATTGCATCTGTACCTATGACAGGGGTGGAAGTGCTGCCCCAATCGTGCCATGCTGTGCTAATCTGACCTGCTACGCTGTGCTAATCTGACCTGCTGCGCTGTGCTAATTGCCCCGCCGCGGTGGTCTAGTGGCTAAGGTACTCGGCTGCTGACCCGCAGGTCGCGGGTTCAAATCCCGGCTGCGGCGGCTGCATTTCCGATGGAGGCGGAAATGTCGAGGCCCGTGTGCTCAGATTTGGGTGCACGTTAAAGAACCCCAGGTGGTCAAAATTTCCGGAGCCCCCCACTACGGCGTCTCTCATAATCATATGGTGGTTTTGGGACGTTAAACCCCACAAATCAATCATGCGCTGTGCTAATCTGACCTGCTGCGCCACGCCGTGCCTAAACGGCAATTTGAACGTGCAATGCCAGATTTAGTCTAGAGGTTTATTATCGACGGAGCAATATGCGTGGCTATGGATGCAACCGCTTCCATATAAAATTCTGCGTCTGGCACGGTTTGCGCAAGGCAGCGTTAGATGCATAATGGCGCAGTAACAAAAAATAGAAAGAAAGGAATGTGTGCGGCATCACTAATACAACATAACAAATTGTTGCTATTGCAGTCATCGCTATGCCGGTGACAATGCTTTTTATGATTATTAATAATTTTTTCCGTTTATATGGCAAAAAACTCGATTGCACCATTTCCGAGCAATCACTGAGTGCGTGCTGTGCTCGGCGATCGCTCGGCACTTATGTGTCAAAAAAAGGTGTGCCTCAAAATACACCTTTTTTTGCTCCATAGCTGCTCTAAAACTCCCTTTTATTGCTCCAAAGCTGCTCCAAAACCGCATCGATCCTTCTCCCAAAGCTGCTCCAAGAGACTAAAGCCCGCTTCCACCCCTGCTGTGAGAAAAAATATTTTTGTTCGCTTTACTGCCCCCTTAAATAACTTTTGGCAATCCTTAGTTTGATGATATAAGAATGCCTGAAGATTGGGAACTTGCTATGAAAGAAATCAATCCTTTGGGGTTGCATATAGAGGAACCCTCACTATGACCCTCAGAAACGTCTCCTTCAGGAAATATACAAGCAGTCCTGTAGAAACATACTAGACAAGTGATTCTTAAATGGGGTCCAAGGTACAAGCCATTTTTGAGGATCCACAAAATGCATCCCCGAAGAGGGGGTGGGGGAATTTTTTTTGGAAGCCCACTATGTTCTGTCACAGCAGCTCTTACCATGTTTTTTTTTTTCTCTATTTTATGAGATTGCTGTAGAGCTTTTGTTGCAGTTTTCTGCGTCATATGTACCTGAGCATACTTTTTCAGGCTGCAAACAGTGCAACTTATTGACAGGCTGTTGAAATTGAATTGGTGGGGCACATTATGTTGATCATTCTTTGCTAGGAAGAAATAAAAATCACCTATTTCACGCTGCATGTCATTTCAATTTATAACCCTCCTTTGCATTTTCTTTCACTGGAAGGAGTCGCCAGTCACTTTCACTGGCCAAGAAGGGGTCCTCCAAAACATTCGTGGCGGAGAACCACTGTGTGAGGCATAGCTGTCCGTCCGTGAGGAACAACTAAACACAAACCTACTCACTTGTTAATTTATGTTTGTCAATTAAAGTCTTGGAAAGCTTCCGAGCATCACTACTTAGTATTATTGAGAGGTCATGCAAGAGAACCATGATTTTAGCTGCCACTTAGTGAAAAGAAACAAAGGGGCTTATAATGAATACTTGACGCAGCAGTGGCTCTGGCATTATAGTTGTTTAATTCCTTGGAAATTGAATTTACTGTGGGGGTGGGACTGAGCTTGTGGGACGATTCGAACAAATAGTTCATTATTCGGATTTGCTTCTATTCGAACCTAAATTATAAAAAGTTTTGAAGTATTCGAAATGAACAAATATGTGTGCAGTATTTGTTTGCATGTTACCCCCCTGTAAAGGTGGTTTCACTTTAGTGTAGGAGTTATAAGCCATGAAAGCACTTATCTAATGGCAAATTGCATTGAGAGAACAGGAGTAGAGAGGTAGTGCAGTGTGGGGCAGAGTGCAGAGAGCAGGGCCCCTTTACCTGCCACTGGTTAAGGCATGTTTCCGGAGAGCAGGTGAGAGGAAATATACCATGTGATAAAAACATTTGATATGCCGGCATTCTCTGCAGGACAGCAGCAAAGTATGCTTCAAATGTGCCAGTCGCGTTTTCGCCATTGTCCTAATTCACACTTGCATAGTACATTTTTGCAATGACGCGTTCTGCGGATGTCGCTGCGTACTCTTCCCAGCCGTCATCGCCACTAGTACAAATGGTGCAAATGCTAATGTATCTAGAATATTAATGTACCAATGCGACAAACAAGAGTGGTGTCAAAATGCACGTGGTTGCCATTGCCGCTGCGCTCAACGGGTGTAGACAAATTCAGTCACGTGACTCGTCCCTGCGCCTACTCTGCAGTTCAAGCGACAGCACCATAAACTGCTCCTGACTGCTCTCAGCGCAGCTAAAGTGCTCGCGCTCTACCAATGGATGGCAGTGCTCTTACTCCTGTTTGACCAAGGAAACACGGCAGCTCTGAAGAGAAAACTTTCAGTCTGCATTTGAGTGCTCCTGTTCTGATGGAATTCACCTTAAATAAATATCAAGCCGCTGTCCTCCGTAAAAGGGGTTTCACTGCAGTGAAGGAGTGCTAAACCATGAAAACACCTACACAGGGAAAATTTGCACTGCCGCAAAGCTTCGCTTTAAACTTGAATGAAATCGAAGTTAAATGAAAATTTTTATCTGACTTTTTTTGTCTGAAACAACATTAAATAAAGTCCCCACTTCTGCCGAGTAGGTTCGAACCAGCATTTTCGTGAGTCAATCTGTTCACAGCTCTAACGTAGGCCTAAAGGCAGCTTTGTCGCATTACTAGATTGTCCTGCGTTGAAGCATAATAAAAAAAATATGAAGGAGTCATTGTATTGGTTGTGGGGTCTCGAGATGACGAGCGCCATCACCACGCTCTTGGAGTGAACGGACACAATTGACACGGCCAGAACAACCCAAACAACAACATACATTTATAGTGCTAATTTTAGAACGACGATATCGTCCGTCGAATTATTATAACACCAATCGTGATCAACACGCTAAGACATCCTTATACAATATTACCATATTCCAAAACATGACAAACACAATAACACACCCAAGGCGTCGCCGCCAACACTTGACTTACCACGAGGGCCCCCGACGCGCAACCTGAGGTGCCACACACTGGGGACCCACGCTATAGACAACCGTTCGCGGCAACCGCCACGCGCAGAAGAGACCAGCTTATTTCTTGCTCGCCGCTAGCAAGGCTTGTCGTCGCCGGCGCTATATCATGATGATGATGATGATAGTGGTGGTCAACGCTCGCGAACACGCCACCTACCACCCGGCACTTGTAACCTGAATTGTGGCTTCTGGGCAAGACACACGCCATGCTGCGCAAACAACTTTACAGGAAGTGTCAGCACCCCCACATGGTGCAGTGCATCTCTATGTGGAACCAGCGTTATCTTGAGTCAGTGCATTTGCTACCGTAGCAAAGTCCGAAAGGCAGCTTTACCACAATGTTGTGTAAAGGTGTAGCATAAAAAAAACAAAAAAACTGAAGGAGTTTCTGTGAATTGGGTAATGACTTTTGGCTCGGCAAGTTCGACTACCTCGAATAGTCAGAACTCTAGTGCAAATCAAGTTGAATAACAAACACTAATAGAACAATATGCAAAAGTTTGAATATTCGCACACCCCTTACTATTTGCATGAACCTAGTGCACATCATTTTGCCAGGATCATCTGTGGCAGTCCGAATCTGCTATTTCAGGTTACGTAGATTTTGCTGTAGGCATATCTGCTGGGATTTTTTTCTGTGAATGATTGGTTTGAAAACACCCGCCACTGTGGTCTAGTGGCTAAAGCACTCAGCTGCTGACCCGCAGGTCGCAGGATCGAATTCCAGCCGCGGTGGCTGCATTTTTGATGGACGTGAAAAGGCTTGAGGCTCGTGTGCTCAGATTTGGAGGCTAGGCTTGTGCGAATAGTGATTCTGGTTGAATGAGTTTGATTGAATTCGAATATCACCGTATTTACTCGATTCTACCGCGCCCTCGATTGTAACGCGCACCCGATTTCCACCGCGAAAAAAAAAAAAAAAAACGTAAGACATCAATTGCAACGCGCACCCATTTCTCTCGCTGGCCCGCACGGTCACACCACTCGAAAAAACGACTCCTTTCGGGAGCGTCTTTCATTTAAATATGATGTACGGGCGAAGCTTGTGCCCATCTGACGTGTAACAGACCATTGCCATCACTGTAGTTTTACCGTGGACCGATGTCAGCACGCGAACTTGCTTTGCCCCCTTCTTCTCGACGGTTGTGGTGCCAGGCATGTCGAAGTAAAGAGGCGTCTGATCGGCATTCCCGATTTGCCCAAGCAGGTAGCCGTTGTTGCGCCGCAAGTTTCGGACGAACCTCTGAAAACTGTGAAGCTTTTCATCGTACTCCTCCGCAAAACTTTTCGCATATGCATGTTCCCCTTCGGAGGAAAAAGCCTTTCCTCTTCATAAAGTTAGTTAGCCAGCACCTGCTCGCTTTAAACTGGCTCCGCATTAGACCTTTTTCTAAGACTAATTGCATAGCCCGCACTTGGAGCAGTTCTGTCGTCACGGGCCGCTGTGCGACTCGCTGCTCAAGCACATACTCGCCGAGCAGCTCTTTAATTTGCGGAAACCGACCCCGGTGTGGTCCACAGAAGCCTTTGCGTGAAGTTTCGCTGTCGACAATCTTCTGCTTTTGTTTCCGCCGGTCCCGCATGCACGTTTCGGGAACTCCGAACAACCGCGATGCGACCCGATTTCCGTCCGTTTCTGCACACGCGATGACTTTTCTTTTAAAAGCGGCATCGTGGTGCACTCGAGTTTTGGTAGTCGGCCCATCCACGCCGTCGATTCAAATGCACTACTAAATGACGAACTCCTCAGCACACGTACAAAGTGCCGCACATGGGAAACACATAGGCAGAAATGGCCGACGCGCTATGCCGTTCCTCCGTGCCGACGCACGTAGGGGGCGGCCATTTTAGATTTGCCGATGGCAATAGATTGACCGTAATTTTTTTGTTCGTACTCGATTCTAACGCGCATGCGATTTATGAACTCGCTTAACCGGAAAAAAGGTGCGCGTTAGATTCGAGTAATTACGGTATATATGTCATATAAAGAAAAATGGGCATAATTATTATGACCTTACTAACCTGCACAATATTTTAATAAAATTGAAATAGGGCCTCTATTCAAATGCTGGTTTTTTTTTTTTTTTGTTCGAAGAAATTTGAAAGAACATTGAGTAGTAGCAGGATTTGACCTTCAGCAGGATGCAAGTCATAACCCTTAAAATACGCAACATTTAAAAATTTATTATACTTGGAGCATATAAGCTGTCATTCATAACTAGCTTTTAAGCTTAATAAAATAAATGAGTTTGGGAGTAATATTTTCATTTAAAGGGGTCGTGCGACACTTTTGCAAGTAGCCCTGGAATAGATTCACTAAAGAAGCTTATTTATTGCCTCATGAACTCACCACTGCAAAAATGTTTAGAATCCGTCCAGTACGTGTGTAGTTGCAAAAATTTCTTGCACGCTGCAAGTGCATTCTTTCTTTTCAGCCCGACGAAAACGCTGGAAGCTAAGCAGGGAGGAATGGCATGGGGAAAGAAAATACGTCCTGTGTGCTTTTCGAGCTTGTGGAGTCATTTGTCGAGAGAAGAGAGAAATTTTTGGCTGACTTTGAGAATTTATTGGGAATCTCATGCCGCATGCTGCGCTATAATGCTTAGATTGCGTGTCCTCGGTAGCCTCGACTACCGATCGGCAGCGTTTTCTGACAATGCTCAAGAAGTGTTGCAGGGCCCCTTTAAATTATCAGGGCCCCTTTAAATTATTAGGGGGGGGGGGGCTTCGCAGCAAAGCTGATTTCTTTTGGATAGGTGTTTTCACGGTTCAGCACTCATACACTGCAATAAAACCACCTCAACAGGCGGTATATTCGGATGAATATGCACCTATTCGTTCCTTGCGAATACTTTGAAATTTTCAATAATTTAAATTCGAATCGAAGTGAATTCGAATACTCTATTATTCGTTTGAATATTCGAAAAATTTGAATATTTGCACAAGCCTATTGGATGCACTTTAAATAAACCCAGGTGGTAGAAATTTTTGGTGCCCTCAACCACGGCTTCTCATATGGTGGTTTTGAGATGTTAAAACCCCAATAATTATTATTATTTGTTTAGAAACATTCACTACACATGTAACTTGTTGCACTTCTTTCAGATGCATCAAAACAAGAAGAGATGGCGAAATTGACTAAGAAGAGGACAGATCTGCTGAAGCAGCTGCAGACTTTTGAGGACCTCTTTCAGACAACTGAGAACATCTATACTGAACTCGAAGGTGAGCGGCTTTCACTCCTGTTGCGTGCATTTATACTTGCTGTTTGTAATGAACTCATTCAACAGTACATGGGTGTTAAAATTAAGACTTTTGTAGTTTCTCGCTGATGCACAGACATTTCTCATGGTGCTCTAGCGGCACTCTTGTTTCCTGTAACAGACACCTCTGTATTATAGTACACTTTTATTCTTGTTCATTGCACAACGCTGTGAAATCCTTAAATGTCAAACACTGAGAAAAGATGGGGCTAGGCTCTATGGCATATGGTTTGAGAAAGAAAAAAAAAAAAAAAAACTGTTGTGTTCATTTAGCATCTTTGAGCTCTATTTGAGCTCTCTATTTTGGTGGTCTCCACGAAGTCTAAAATATTAAATATTCATTGGTGACTGCATTTTCTGACAGATTTAGGTGGAGACACAGCTCTTTAAACTATTCATTGGTGACTGCATTTTCTGACAGATTTAAGTAGAGACACAGCTCTTAAAACAATAAAAAAAATGGCCAAAAAATTGATTTTTTTTGCGAAACCTATTTTCGGGGCGTTTGTACTTCTGAGCACCTACTCTCAAGTTACTAAGGCCAAATTTGACTGGAAGCGCCATAAAATGAGCCTTAAAAGCACCTTGGTAGTGCCTCCAAAAAGAACGAAATTTGTTAGAACTTCCTCGCGTGGCATGAGTGTGCAGCAGGCCAAGTGCCACCATCTTGAGCTATCTTTGAAGCTGCTTCTTTTGTGTGTGATTTGTACCATCTCAAAATGGCGTCAGACAAGCAGAATGGCCACCATCACGGGTTTTCTGAAGGTTGTATCGAGGTCGATGATTGGCTATCATGAATCATGCTTTTCGAGTGCACCGTTCTGTATTTCCCATTGGCTGGCGTGACCAATGCGTTTTTTGTTTTTTCGTCATTCACCGCCGTGGTTGTCTGATCGTGTGCATCTGCTTTTTCACTAGTGCATGTTTCTCGACGCACCATGCTTATGCTTTTTTCTACATGGTCCACATGTCCGAAGACGCTCGTCTGAAACAGTCCTTGCAACGAGCTTTTGGAAGCTGTAAAAAGCGGGCTTGGAACAATAAGGCGCTGGCTAGAAGTGCACCATCAGGACGAGAGTAGAGTTTGTAGTCTGTACCCATTAAGCACCTTTAGCTGAGCGTTTACGCCCAGTTCATACCTGCGTATGCTAGTGTTTTGCACACAAGCATCTAGAAAGAATCGTAAAGAGCATGTGCAGAGTGATTGTGCGAACAGAGAAAGGTAGAGTGTATTGCTCGCTTTGCTTAAGAAGTTGATTGAGTGAAGAATTAAGGTGCATCTATTTCATTTCCCCTTTATTTTATTATTATAGTTTCTACTATTCTATTCTATTTTATTACTATTATTTCGCCATTATAGCGATGGCGATACCTATGCTTGCTGAAAGCGGTGGTTTCTGTTGGTGCCAACGCGTGTTTTAGACTTCGTCGACGTATTTTCAGTTTCTGAAAATGCATCAAAATGTTAAAAATTAAGTTTACTGTATAGCCGCAGACGATCCGAAGCTGAAGCTCAGTTGCTTAGTTCATGATTTTTTTCGTGCAGCTGCTGGGTGCATCTGCGGAACGATGCCTTTTCCGATTCCAATGCTTATCATTTTGTTCGCGCTTGGCGAGTGTGGTAACTAATCAGAGCAGCTGTTCGTCCGCATTATCAACAAAATTGGCTAGCCGCGAGTGATGGATGATAAGAATGGCATAAAATAAGGCAAAAGTCACCGCTTCGGGATACCCTGCAGCCATCTCGGCGTTTTGACGGCGGACAGCTGCTGGTGTTGACGTGCTAATGCAACTGTTTGGTTCCTTCACGAAAGCGGTTATAGTCACTGTTTCAGCGTGCTTTTCACCATGACCTCGATATGCATGGGTGAGAATCGCGCCGTGTTGCTGCTGGGATAGAATAAAAAGCAGCAGACACTTTTTGAATTTCGAGAATAAACGTTTCTTTTTTTTGCTAGTTCAGATCGGCTATATTTTTTCAATTTCACTACAACGAACTTTTTGAAAGTTTCGTTGTAGCAGGGTTCGACTGATTTGCTATGAGCAATCGGGTCAGAAGATGAGGAGCAGATTGGAGGTAGTGCTTCGGTTGCTTATTTATAGAATGTTATTCCTAAACTATATTTGAGAAGCTCTGAAATGGTTGGGGTGTTGTTTTTATGGAGAAGGTATTTACCGTAGAAAAATGTAAACTGTTCATAAGGATTCTAAACCCTGTTAGTACCCTAATTTGGCACAGAATGGGTGCAATTCTTGATCGCTTTGACAGTGACTGCTGTTTTGTGGCCAGTGGTTGTGACAGCAGTATTGTTTTTACTCCGGACTCATTGGCTGTGTGCCTTGTGGTATTCACCCTCTACAATAGCACTTATGCACTAGTAGCACTTTGACTCACTGTCGTGTGTGTGCAGCATCACAAACGTGACAGAACCTGTTGGGGACAAAGTGTGATTCCTCTGCATTGCTCAGACTAACTGGAAACTCCCCAGCTGCAATGTAATGATGAAAGTTTTGTTGTCAACTGACTGTCTGGCGAAAAAGTGATTGGAGATTTGATTGTATTTGGAAATAAGAATATTTGGACATATTCGGAAATTCAGAATATTCAATGTTCACGAATATTTGTTCGCATATGTCGCTGTGAATAACTTGGAATTTTGCGCATTTGCGATAAGAGCCTCAGTAGTTCATGCAGTGATTACTACGACTTAGGCGCGAGTGCGATGACGCCTGCATGGAAATTCACGGGAGCGTAATGATGGCTAGCAACGAATGCGGCAGCACATCATCACGACAAACTTGTCAAGGATAAACATCTCAATCAGTCGAAATCATCTGTGCGGCAGTACACGTGGCTTAGTGGTTTAGTGCTGTTATGGTTCATGCAAGCGTACTGACTACGCCGTTCACTGTTGCGACCTTGTGCGCGGGATCGCAAGTGCGTTTCGCTCGTTAAAATGAAGGCAACTCACCGTTGCCGCATTGGCTCGACAAAATAGTCTTCACACCTTTGCTCCGTCCCGTGCTGAGTGAGCACAAAAAAATATATATATCTCTGTGCATGGGCAAATGCCCGCGTTTACGTTACAGATCACGGCGCTGATAGAGTGAGCAATGCCCTGCACGCACTAGTTAGGGTCGCACTCAGCTTGACATAGGATAGTAACGCGTTTCATGTATAGCCATGCCAGTTTTCGCTAATGGATCACCATACAAGCGTACGCACACGTGTTGAAGCCTGACGAGTTGTCTGTCAGCTGTGTCGCTACTTCAGTATGTACACTCTCTTCATAATTCCAGAATAATGTCATGGTGGGGAATATGGTCATGTGAATGAGCTTAAGTGTTTTTTTGTGCAACGGTAAACATAGAAAAGGTCATGCACTTTCCAAAACGTTACAATGGCATCATCACATATTGTTCTCCGTTGCTAACGGTGACGCTCGTAAGGTGATGGACAGATTATTGTGTAGTTCCACTGTGTTCCCGACAGCGCCTTTGAAAATCCGTCGTGCGTGCATTGTGCTCACGCTGCGCATCCTGCAATCAACCCTCTGTTACACCATTGCTGCAATCTCGATCTTTTGCCAACGTCAGTTTGCTGCCGTCGGCAGCCAGTGCGCTGAAAGGTGTTGCGATGTGGCAAAATAGTGTCCTCACTGCTGGGAGTTATGGCTTCGTTAATCAAAAGCCGTATTGGAGGTGTCTTTCTATGACACATCAGTAATCCTCTATCTCCCGCACTTACCCTGCGTTATTGCTGCGCGCCCGGTACATTTCAGTCAAGAATGTGCTGCTATCAGCCCAACACAGCATTTGTGATCAGAGAATGGCGAGCGCGGTTCTTGAGAAAAGCAATGGAAGCAAGCGAGGTAACGAGTATTGCTGTGTTGTTGAAAAACGCCCCAGGTCCCTGTATTTCTCTTGGTGGCTCTACTGGTGAGAACAGGGGAGAAAATTAGCAAGAAAACTATAATATTGAGGGCTTTCGAACCAAAACTGATACAGTTGAATCCCGCGACAACGAAATTACGGGGCGGGCAAAAATATTCGTTGTCGCAATTTGAGGTGAAAAAAAACAGCTTATCTGAGTCACGCGACTCACTGACGGGAAAAAAAAAAGCTTTACTGCCAAGCATTGGTACAACACGACTTTCGCATGCTGCCAACAGAGTCATCGCTTCGTGGTCATCTTGCGCTCCAATGCAACGTTTGATGACGTCAAATGTATCCAGCACATGTGAAGTCGGAGGCAGCACATAATTATGCTGTGCGGATGTGTCATCTTTATCCGACGAAACACCATCTTCCTGCACGCTCTTTATGATGTCTTCATTTGCTAATTCCTCCTGCATCACCAAGCAGGAGTCTGCTTGCATGAACTCGCTGAGATGGACGTTGGCCGGCACATCACTTTCCTGCAGGTCTGCCCATGCGAGAGCGACTTCTTCATCCATTATTTCATTCTCATCGTGATCTGTCTTGTCATCACAAGCGTCTATATCAGAATCTGAAGTCTCAACACACTGCGAATCGAGCCCCGCCGCGGTGGTCTAGTGGCTAAGGTACTCGGCTAGTGACCCGCAGGTCGCGGGTTCGAATCCCGGCTGCGGCGGCTGCATTTCCGATGGAGGCGGAAATGTTGTAGCCCCGTGTGCTCAGATTTGGGTGCACGTTAAAGAACCCCAGGTGGTCTAAATTTCCGGAGCCCTCCACTACGGTGTCTCTCATAATCATATGGTGGTTTTGGGACGTTAAACCCCACATATCAATCACACTGCGAATCGAATCTGGCATGGCGAAAGCAGTTCACAACAACGGCACTTCCTGTCGTGCTCCATGAAGCAGCAATCATTTGGAGCGCCATAAACATGTCGATTTTCATTTCGCGACTCAACTGGGTGTTTAAAAGCAGCCTTTGAATAAGGCACTTACAATAGTAAGCTCACTTCACGCTTTGGA